TATATTAAACATCGCTATAATTTCATATATGAATTCTAAATTAAATTGGAAGTTCTAGACAAATACGATGTGCCCAGCCTTAAATTCTTGACATTAATATTCAGAATGTGTCTTTCACGTTTGCAAGGAAAATCCCAAGGCTTGTCTATCTTTGCAACTGGCCTACTTGGTAAATAATTAATTGAGTAGGACTCAGCGAGGTGTCCAGAATTTTTGTTTTGTGTCCTATATTTTGGCTGATGAAGTGAAGGATATGGTACCCTGAGAAGTTCTGTTGGAGATTGGGATTGAAGACATATCTAAATAGAACTAGTTCTTTCTCAGATTTTAGCCTTGTTTTTGTTTCTTGAAGTCTTTTGCTTCCCTACTTTGGTAAGTGACTAAACAGGATGAGTCAACTTGTAAAGAGAAAGAGTTATTTTATGTCCTTGTACAGAAGTTTCGTGCGTCAGTTTTTTTATTCTACTTGGGAAACATTTCGTGTCAGTTTCTTTTATTCGCAGTTGATTTAAACTTATTTACAGAAAATCTCTTACAAGAAATTCTTCCCGAACTTCCTGTTATTGGACTTTTAGCAATATAAAAACAACATTTTTGGGTACACCTTATAATTTGTTTGCTTGTTGTTAACTGCAAAGTTACAAAATGCTCTGCCCATCAAGGGTATCAAAACACGATTTTTAGAGTTGTAAGCCCCAGTCTTGCCGCTGAGCCATCGGTGGCACACCTTATAATACCATAAGTTTATGAAACTCGTGATTTAACGATTCTATTTTAGAACGTAAGATTGTTAGCGAGAAAGTTTATTACACACAGCTTTGCTTTTATCGTGTATGTGAAGAAGGATGAATATATTAGTTTATTTTTGGATATTTTGTTTCCATAATATATACTTACTCTTTATCATGTCAAATAACCAGTTATCATAAACGGTAAGGGAGTTGTAATGTTGATTTGAGTCAGAGTTTTTGTATAATTATATATTTTAGTATAACCTTATTAGCATTTGCAAAGCGCTCCTATACATTAAATCTGAACATATTTTTGATTTGTATGATGTTTATATACAATATTGAACGAATATGTAATGAAAAGTTGTTAGCTAAAGTATAACTTACTGTAAAACTTCGATTAATTTCCTCTTAATACACTTCCTTATTTGTTGGAAACTGAAACTTATTCCTACAGTTAGACGAATTAGTGTTTATTTTATTGTCGTTTTGACTTGAGGAAAGAAAATATTACTTATTTTCTTTTTAAGAAGTACCCACTTAATTATCGAACACATATAATGTTTTGAAACAGCCATATAAACCTATTATCCCACAAAACTTTATGTACATCCTTACCACGGTGACGTTCCACCAAATAACACAGAGTCGCCTAGAGTGAGTTGGTGGGACTGTGTTCTTTCTCCACGCTCACTGGTTCATGTTTTGACCAACCAAGATTAGGGTGATCGCAGGTTCGTCATTTTCCGTCCTTACATTAGTCATTAGTCTTTATCCAATGATATTATGTGCACCCTTGAGTAAGAGCGCAAACAATGTTTATAAGTATTGATGACTAAAAAATAGTTATATGTGTATTAAAAAGACAATAAGTAATGCATTATGATAGCTTCTCTTTAGACTTACCATTTAATAGTTACAAGTTCTATAGTAATTTACAACATAACTCCTCACATCCTTGTAAATTGTAATTTAGTTAATCGCCACATCGGATATGAAAATCCATATAGAAAAACAGTATATGAACACTTAATTCTAAAGTCAGAAGTAAAATTTGTTGTCTTGAGTCATGCTAGTGAGCATTAAAAATCTGAAGTCACGTTGATTAGATTGCTGAGAAGTTAAGCCTAATTATTCGTAAGCCTGTTTTTAAGTTCAATTCTAAACTAGAATGCGCCTGGTGTATTAAATTTAAAGTAAAATGGTGACGTAGGCCTAACATCAACACTGAAAATTGGAATGAAGCCTAGTTAGAGGTGGGAAATGTTTTCTTGTTAAGTTTAGTAAGTCAGTTAATAAATTCAGTTTAATCCAAAATTTTGGTTTTATTTTTCGTTTTAATAGTTAAGTTTGTCTTAAAAAAACAAACACTTGTTGGTAACTTAAAATGTTAAACATACATTGTGTACTGTAAGTGTAAGTTGTAAGTTATAAATTATTATTTCAAAAACAAGCCATTGTTAACTTATTTTGACATTTAATTCATTTGTAACAGATGCTAACTCACAAGTTACAAGAATACAACGTACATGATAATGTTTTTCAGTATCAAGACTTTAGAATTAAATGTTCTTAGGCCTACAAGAAACAAAATTCACTTTGTTGGGTTGTGGTTAGTTTCAATATAAGAAATATTTAGTAAAATAAAACTTTGAGTAGGAACCACGATATGTTATTGTACCATAATTTCTAATGTAGATCCTTTTCTGTAAGAAATGGAACGAGCAGAGAACGGTGGAGATCTTAGTGATTCTTTCTTGACTGGAGGTGGGCCCTACATAGTCCACACAGAAGGTATAAGTGTTATTGTGTATTCTTTTAAATGGTGTTATTAAATTTATTTAGAATATGTGTGTTTAACTTATGTTTTGTTGGAGAAGGTTCAGAGAAGAGCCACTAGGATGATACTTGGGATGGTGGGATTGTCCTATGAGGAGAGACTAAAATCTCTAAATTTGTTTTATCTGGAGAGGAGAAGGGTCAAATGGGATTTGATTGAAGTGTTTAAGATTATCAAGGGTATTGATAATAGATCCATTAAACTTTTTGTGTTTCGCAGTGAAAACAATAGGACAAGGGGTCATAAATTGAAACTTGGCAGGGTAGGAGTCGTCTGCAGTTTAGACAGTATTACTTTTCAAACAGGATGGTTGGTTTTTGGAATGAGCTGCCTTCGAGGGCGGTGGAGGCAGGTAATTTAACTGAGTTTAAGAAAAGATTGGATGAATACATGAGTAGTAAGGGGTGGTTATAGTTGGGAGCTGAAAGGGACATCCTGGATGAGCTAATAAGCTCCTTTCTGTCAATCTAAAACTTTATAAAATCTATGAAAAGTAATAGACTACTTAATCTTACTTATTAGTGATTAACCCATGGTTATTTACTGAAAATGTAATTTAACTTTTACACTTTATTAAGAAGCACTTACATCGGTAGAATACAGTACGTTGGCTTTAGTGTCCACTCCTACTGTTTACTATTGATTCAGTGTCGTGCCTTAGTTTCTCTTTGAAATAAAGTATCATTACCATAACTTGCATCCATTTTCAGTTCATTCCAGTGATACGCTACTGTATCATTGTACTTGAGTAATATCACATCATTATCCTTCTAAAATGACAACTCCCTGCAAGAAGGCAAAAGTCCAGGGAAAGTGTAAAGATTCTTAGGAAAACATGTCCAGTCTGGGAAAATAGATACACAACATGTAATTGTGATGACTTTATATGTTAAAGAATGAGTTGTTCTACAGTCCTGTGGATAATTTAAGAAAAATATGTGTTTTTCATGATAATAACTTTCAGCTACCGAAATGGGTTGATGTGTTTAATTGAAAAATTCACTTTATTGTTCTACAGCTTTTGACACTTCCTTCTGAGAGATCCTTTTTGCTTGTTTGTCCAAACTTGAATTAGAAATGAAAATATTAAAATCATTCATTTTGTGTGATTTCTTAAGACTAATGTGAACTAAAGTACAGTTATCAAGATGTATTGTTAAAGTCTAAAATACAGAAATACTTGATATTAGTAAATCATAGAAATACTGACACTATAGTTACAGAGTGAACTATTATGGATGTTTAAGTAACTTAGATAAAATTTCAGTAAGTTAATTGTCATTCAAATGTATTTTTCTAGTGTATAAACAAAGTGAGTTTTTAAATATTCTGTTCATTTAGTGTTTGTAGAACACTTTAGCTTTTGGGAATAAAATTAAAAAAATCCACAAAAATAATAATTATTTCTGGTGGATAATATACTATTACCAACAATGTGTCAAATTATTAAAGAATAAGAATTTATTATTGAATTTTGAACCTATTCTGATTTCTTTACCATTGAGTTTCTTGTTTTTTTTTGTATTTATACAATACAATATTGTGAACAGAACTGGGCCATTTTATGTCCATTAAATTGTGGTTGTTTTTGTTTTTCAGGTACTGATGTGGATGATGGTCTAGGTATTGCAGATATTGACCAGGGGGATGATGGAAAGTATACCGAACCTTTAAGGGAACAGGTAATTGTATTTAAACACATTATTCAATAGCTGATCTAGGAATTACTTAAGTGTTGATTAGTGTATGAGCTGCTAAATCCAAACAATCTCATTCTGGCAATGTGTATCTTTCTATCTCAGAATCTTGTATCACTTAAGTGAATTGTAATGAAGTATGAAACCGAGTTCCATGAAATTTAGTATTAACATAACAAAATCTTGCCTTACAATACTTTTGACATTCTTTGAAAAGGTGGATGATGGTAAGAGTGTATATTTGGTGTATCTGGATTTGAAAAAGCATTTGACAAGGTGCCACATAAAAGGCTTGTAAAAAAAATATCTATATAGCTGTGGGGGATAAGTTAGCAAATTGGATAAAAGAGTGGCTGGATGGAAGAAAGCAGAGGGTTGTTACAAATGGAATTCAGTCAAACTGGATTAATGTTACAAGAGGGGTACCTCAGAGCTCAATCTTAGGACTTTTTCTCTTTTTGATTTTTTTGGTGTTGCTAGCTGTGAAGAGGATGCTACTGATTTACTAAAGGATTTAGATAATTTAGTGAGTTCAGCAAATAAATGGCAAGTGGTTTTAATTATAATAAATTCAAGATAATGCATGTGGGCTATCATAATTTAAATTAGAAGTATAATTTGGGTGGGAATAACCTTAACAGTGTCATGAAAGAAAGGAATCTTGGTGTAATAGTCGATCA